TTCACTAGAATTTCCACGAACCTATTCTGAATCGTTTATTTTATGTTTTTTCATTGACTTACATAATACTGTCAACAAAATATAAAAAGTACCTTGTATAAGGGCATTTCTGGGAGCGGCACCACGAAGGTTACGGAGAGAGAAGAGGGCTCTGAACCGCTCTGCGATAGGCTGATTCTGATCCAACAATTGCCCGCACAAAAACTTCTCAGTCTCAGCAGAAACTTGGAATGAGTGGTCACCAACGTTAGAGTCCATCGTGGTAAGCAAAGGAAATGGAATTCAATTACCGAGGCCCCTTGCTCCCCTTAATGTGCAAAACGAGTTACATGAAATAATGTGAGATGCACACAAATCTATAATGAATCCCATAATCAATTTGTTCAAACACGAAAACAAAATTCACGTAATACAAGCACATATATTTGGAACGGACTCTAAAGGTGGCTCTCGTGTGAAGCACTTAGTTCTTTCAAAGACACTGTTAGTGGCCCTCGCACGTAACACTTAGTTCCTAGACCAATGTGGAACTACACCGCGCTCCTTGCTCCAGTTCATTTTTTATTTTTTTTTTCTTTTGTAGAATAAATATTTTACCCACCTAAAAATATAGTATGACATTGGAACCTTAATTACTCGGCCATATTTAGGCTCAGCTCAACATATCAATATATTTTGAGGACTCAAATGTCAGAAAGGAACGGCATCGCTTTACTTTTAAAGGAACAGACAAACCAAACGGTCATTTTGTAGAGTGTTCATATTTTCACCACGACTTATACTATAAAATAGATATCTAAATGATTCCTGAACATAACTCCAACAGAACAGCAATGCAACTGAAAAACTTGGACAGTCACCTATGCATTGTCACTGTACAATGAACATAATTTTTACTAGAAAAAAGATTTTGGACTATTTTTAAAATTACGAGAAGACAAGGTATAAAGCTACAACTTTTATAAAGACTCCGAACGCTAACTAGCATGATGATAGAATGAAAATGGTACAAGACTCAGTAGCCCTATTGCTGCAAAAAATGACAGAAGTGTTCGTAGTTTGTTAATAATTTTAAAGGAAAATAGGTATTTAAATAATTATTGTTCCTCCAAAGCTCCAACGAAATATATATGTTTTCATGAAAATAGTGAAGGCAGAAAAGGATGTTAGGAAGGTGTAAACATCTCATGAACAAGCAAACAGCGCATAATTGAAGAGAGATAGTTGGTAGATTCTTGCAGCAATAGAAATCCAAGGCACTACACTACAAGTATCGAGAAGACTTAAAAATAGACAGCTAAATTACAAGGATCAAAACAGCAGATGGGCAGATCCATCAACAGAAATTTAAGAAACTACATTTAAATCATATTCTCAAAGACTAACATGATCCTAGAGACGAGGGCATTTACACTACACAAGTTTAATAAAGTTCCAGTATCCCTAAGACCCCCAATCGAGTCCTTCCGACACCGTGTTCCTAAAATTGTTTTGGTATTTGAATTCTACAACTTATAGCGGACAATTTGACAATTAAATTATCAAGTATTACCTGGAATCAGGCGGCCGTCCGGGCGGAGAATACTCCCGGCGTTTTGTAAAAGAACGGAAAACCACAAAAAGGAAAGCGACAGATCTTTGCATAAATTTGGAAAATCATAAAAAGAAGGTGAAGGTGGCGCTCACTTGGGCTTAAAATCGGGCCGAATGTTAAGCCCGAAACCTTGTACCTAAAAGTTAAAACAAGAAAAAACTATAAACAAAAACTAAACTAATTGCATATATACTAACTAGGACAAATCCCGTGCGATGCACGAGTAAGAAATATTAAATAATATTTATAAATTAAAAGTATTTATTAAAAAATATTTTTAAATTAAAAATATTGAATCAATATGTAATATGGTTTACCTTTATTGAAAATATTATATGAAATTTGAATTGTGCAAAATTCCATAAAATATGTCTATCCAAATGCACGTAGCTAATAGTAAATTACATTATATTTATTACAAAATAAGTGACACTTTTAAAATTTTTATTCAGAAATTCGATTTGACTACAATGTGATTCCATAAAATAAATATTTTGATAAAAACTTATCATATATTTAAAAATCTATGTGAATAATAAGTTCCATTAAAAAACTAATTGCAGTGGCGGATCCAAAATAATTTTATATTGGGGCACTATATAATTAATAGAAAAAGTATACCATCAAAATAACATAATGTCATTACAATTATAAATTATACTTTACATACTTTGTCATGTTTCTTACTTGTAATACATTCTAACACATCAGTATAGTCACAATAAGTTAACAAATATTTAATAAAAAATGACGATTTTTCTCAATTCAACATAAGAAAATCACTGAAAATATTTTTTTTTTTTTGTAAAAAAATTATAAACAAAAAATCTATGTTGTAGTATAGCTGACTCAGCAATACAATTGATGAATTTATAAATTATGAATATATAACTATAATTCCCCTTCCATTAGTTTAAAAAAAAAACATAAAAAACATATTTTGAAGATATAGAAAAAAATATGTTGCAAAATAGAGGTTTGAAACTATCATTAATATGGATCATTTACATTTTATTGAAATCAAAAAGGCGTTTTAAAATAAGAATAGAAAAGTCAATATCATATATCAGATAAAAAATTTGAAACTTGGCGTGAACTAGCGAATCATTACGGTATTATATCATAGTGATACAATTATTCATGATAATAATAGGTATAGATATTCTCAGTATATAAATGAATAAACTGGTCTCAATTGTTGGGTCGTAATTTTGAGATTTATTATATTTTTTTTTAGTTGTGATGCCGCGTTTATGTTATAACATTAATAAAGTTATCAGTTGAATTAGATTATAATTAGTTGAGTTGTAAACTAATTCATTATGTATCTTTCTTTCTTTTAATTTCATTTTTAATATAGGGGACATGATAAAAATTATGAAATTAAAAATGTTCCCACAATTTTTATTAGATTCCTTACGCTATATGCTTTGGGATGGAGGGTTGTGCCAGACCTATAAGTAAACATAGATCTGCTCATGATTCCAATAAAATATTTTTTTCTATAATTATATTGGAAAATTCAAATGGGAGTAATAACATTGAAATATTCATTAGAATTTTCGATGAATTCCTTTGTAATATATTTTTTTTGAAATTTTCATTCGAATTTTCTCATTTTTTTGTAGTAAAGGTAGGGCTTCTAATCAATAAGAAAAATTGCATTATATATAATATTGTGCACAACTAATTATTATGAAAATTGTTGATAATGATAGAAAATATAACACATTCAATTTAATTGTCATTTAATTTAGGGTAAATAATAATTTTGCAACCTGTACTATACTCGAATTTGGGATTTGCAACCTATAGAAATTTTTGTATTAAATCGCAACCTTTAATACACGATTTGTCTATATCGCAACCTCCGGCCATCGGCGGCCCATTTTCCATCGGAAAAGCGAGTGTGCGACACACACGTACCAAATTTGAGGGCAAAAATGTTATTTAATCCCTCTTCCTCCTTCCTCTTTCATCCTCTCTCTCACACTGTCTCACACACATTCAAATCAAAAATTGAATTCCACGGCATGATACTAGGGTTCCTCAATCGGGAGGCCCGTAAAATTTGCGCCTTTTGATGTGATAAGAAACACGAACCTGTCGACGGCGAAAGAGAAAAGGCACGAAATAGAGGCGGTGGAACCAGCGGGAAGAACGGAGGCAGCGGGAGGAAGGTGAAGTTCTCTCCTTTGACAGGGCAATGGAGGCAGCGTTCAAGAAAGCGCCGCCGTAGAGAGTGATGCTGCTGGAAGGAAATATGGGGGCTGCGAGGAAGAAGATGAACAGAGCAAAGAGAAATTTTGAACACGTCTTGGAAATTTCGATTGCTTTCTTCTATAGATCTGAGGCAATAATTTCGACACATGATGAACAGAGCAAAGAGAAATTTCGTATACATCTTCAAAATTAGATTGTTTTCTTCTTCATATCTGAGGCAATAATATCGACAAATATGTCCAGATTGAAGTCGAATTTGACTGCTGAGACTCCGTCGGCGATAAAAAAAGGGGCTTCTTTTACCGGTTCCGTTGATTTTGACTATGTATGTGGGAGTGTGTGTGAGAGGTAGGATGAAAGAATAAGGATGGAGAGAGATGAAATGACATTTTTGCCCTCAAATTTAGCACGTGTGTATCGCACGCTTGCTTTTCCGGTGAACAACGAACTTCCGATGGTCGGAGGTTGCGATATAGACTAATCGTGTATTAAAGGTTGCAATTTAGTACAAAAAATTCTTTAGGTTGCAAACCCCAAATTCGCGTATAGTACAGGTTGCAAATTATTATTTACCCTTTAATTTATGGTAATTAGTAAACTATTTCAAAACAAATAAGATACATCGAAATCAAAAAGTCTTAATTATTTTATTATTATTATAATAGCTAAACAAGGGGTAAGAATGATGAGAAAACTTATAGCTCGCATTAAATCTAAAAGTAAAAAAAAAAAAAAGTGATAAAATTATTAATTAATGTCCTATATCAATTGAAGCTAGGTAATGAGAAATATCAAACATACTTAATATGCACATTTAAGTGAATGACAATCGCCTTTAATCGAGTCGTTGGACGTGCAAGTCCAAACCGTCCTCAAGTTCCATGGCCTGGTTGGCCGTGTCCAGCACTGTAACACTCTTTCACCGCTAATGAACCCGAAGGTACGGAGTAGAATGTTACCCTTTTATATGTAATATATCATATCATTTCTTTCTAATGATGTATATCAATTATCAATGAATTTAAAATAATAAATAGACCTAAAAGTATCTTGTAAAATAAATTATACATTCATGTTAAATAAATTCATTAAGTATTAAATAACATAATATAAACTTGTGGCATATTTTTTTTACATATATCCGAAAATTCATATTAAGAAAAAACAAACAATGGATTTAAACATACAACTATCACCAGTATTAACCATGTGAAATAAAAGGAGAAATAAACGAGTTGTATGTTAAATTATTATTCAACTAATAAATAAATTCAATGAGTATGAAAATGAGTTAGTTTCTTAATATTTTCTTAAACATTGGGAAACAAATTCTAAACCTTTTAATCTAATAATCAATATAAAAGTACATTTTTTTATCAATATATTATTATAAATAAATAAATAACTAAGTAATATTAAATTTTATTTTATCTTATGCGATTATATTAGTTGTTGTCTAATAAATAAGATATTTTGATAACAACGTCATTGTATGAAACACGTACGAAAAAAGATGCAATACATATAAATGTTCTATAATTCTTTTAATAAATAAAGTATTATTTATCAATAGAATAAAAAACTAATAAAATAATAGTAATGCAATTGAAAAAAGAAAACGTCTGAATTTTCTTAAACAAGTATGAATACCAATATTTAGAAACAAAAAGTCTTTTAAAAATAATACTTTTTTTGTTGACAGCGTTTAAATATATGGACTCTGTAAGAAATTGGATCTCATAAATAATGATCCTATATTATCAAGATTTAATTTTAAATAATTAAAAATTTAAAACTTTATAATACATAATGTAGATGTTAATAATGATTTCGTAATAATAAAGTTCAAAGATGAGTAAGAGTCATAAAATAGAATTTCAATTCTTCTCATCTCAAATATTTTAACAAATGATATGTTTCTCAATGTTGTCTAATTGTTTTGTTTGGTTTTGTCATTGGTGAAGAATAAAAAAATGATCTTTATTTTGAGTTTTCTGAGCATTATGTATGATGCGTAAAGTTGGACGATAAAAGCATTAAAAAGTTATTGGACACATAAATGTTACAAATCCAAACGAATTTAGTGAAAGACATTAAGATAAATAATTCTAAAATCATTGCAAGAACTAGATGGTCAATGATTTAGAAACAATAGATTATACAGTTCGTCTATCTTCTAAATAAATGACATTAAAAATGAAACGTTGAAGCCTGATCAGAATATTTTTGAATGTTTGAATGAAGTTGACACTTCTTATAGGAATATTTATAATTTCATTGGTGTATTGTGCTTGAATTTATGTGCAGTTATTTTAGAGTATGTACTTTTAGGTAATATGTGATGATTTCAAAAAATAATCTCGGGAAAAGTACATATAATAGAGATTTTGAAAAGACAACTTTTATTTAGAGATGAAATTCATTCCCCTCCGTAGGGCGATACATCCATGGGGTACATCCATGGGGTAGATGTAATTTGTCTATATATAGAGATAGAGTAATATAGTAGCTTATACAATGATAAAAAATAAACAATAATTTAATGACATGATTGGTTATTTTGCAGAGATATTAATGCATTATTGGTAGAAATATAAAGATAATACAACCATGAAGTTTCACTATATGTTTGGCTAGAATATTTTTTAAGTGTTTGAATAAAGTAGACGTTTTGCTAAATAAATTATGATGAATTTTGCAATACTATTGAATCAACAAGCTTCTTATGAGGACGTCAAAACCAAAATGAAAGAGATCGCTATTGAATCATCTAACATAAACAAATAAAAGAACTAATGCATGTATAATATATGTTAGTCATTATTTAGGTATTTAGTGTTTTTGTTGGGATTGTAATATGTTATTTAATTCTTTTATATTAGGACATCGTTAAGTTATTTTGAAAAATACAATTTGTTCTACATTTTGTTTCATTAGTTTGTTCTACATTGTATTCCATTCTTGCAATGATTATTTAATAAATTAATTTATTTATTTTACAAAACTTAATCGGCAAAAAACAATTACATTATGAGCTTATTTGTTCTACGTTTTATTTCATTCTTAAAATGATAGTTTTAATAAATTAACTAATTTATTTTACTAAATTTAATTGGCAAAAACATTCACCATCACGTGCCTCGCACGTGCACTTTACTAATTATTTCTAAAAAAAATAGTCCAATGAGGCGTGGACAAAAATATCATGCGAGAAAATGATAGCCACTAAATCAGGCTTGAGATATTTATACGTGGCCTGTATCAAGGCTAGAAAGCATGAGATATTGAGATATATACGCATAAGCTCCCTTGTCTGGCTTATTACCTATCCGGTAATGTAAACACGCCCTTATTGATGGAAATATGGAATGACTGATATTTTTTGAAGTATAGAGTAATCATGACTCATTTGTTGCGTTTGATGATAATAGAAAATACCTGTTTTTGTTCAATTTTCATAGATTCATTTGAAAATTGGAGCAGAAAAGCGGTTCAAGACAAAGTCCCTTGTCTGCTTTTGATTACCTCCAAAAATTGTTTCCATGATTCAACCAATCAAAAATCGGTCAAGTGCAGTTGTATTCGGCTTAAAGTTTGATAAAATCGGTCAAAATCCAAAATCAGTTTCACACTGATCATATTTTTTTCAACTTATATTTTGTAAAACATGTTTCTTAAACATAATTTTTGTATAGATATTATTTCATTTTAAATAATGTAAACACGACTGCAATGATGGGCAATCCATTATTATTTTTAAATAAAGGTGAGCCCAAGTTGAATAGTACTGGACAGGGAACAAGTGGAGAAATCAGTAAGTTCATTTTCTTTTCAAATATTCAACTCTTATATTCATATTAAGTTGAAATTGACAGAACTAAATATTTGACCACTCTCATGTATAAATATACAATATTCATATTAAAACGAGAATTGAAAATATGTTATTTCCCTTTTTCGAGTTCCAAATTAAGTTTGATTTAAAAAAAATAAATTAAAATCAATATTTTTCATTCATATAAAAGTACTACATTTTTTTTTCAAGAAAAATAAATTGCATCTAAGTCGGTACGTATGATAGTCCTATAATTATTTATAATATTCCGTTTACTAAGAATAAACCACCAACTATAAATAAAATATTTTAAATCAAGAAGAACAACGACCAAATTATTCAAGGGTCAATGTCGTGATGCATTGTTAATTTTGTGATATAGATTCATTCAACCCAAACTCTTTTTACTTTACGTGTGAGTGGAGAGACACTTTCAAGTCTTCCAACTAAACCTACATTTTGCGTCTTTTTTTTGGATTCCACATTTAATAAAACGTGTTCCAAAAAATGTTAGGCGTGCTGAAGTGAGTACGTTTGTGATGGGGATATAAATTATATGTTACAATTGACTACTTCAAATTAAATTTAACTTAATTCAATCATCCTTAATTTTGTCAATATAATTGAATAATATCAATCAATTATTATCACACGTTACATCAACATTAATTTATTATTCGTTCACACATATTATTTTAACTACTTATCATTTTTAATAATCTCTCACATTGTATCAATTTTAATTATTTTATTTTAAATATTATCTAAATTTAAATTCAAAATCTCATTCAAACAAATTCAATTAATTTATTTTGTTTTATTTTATCCGATAAATCCATTCAAATTCAAAATAATTTATATCCATTCAGCCGTAACCAAGTGGCTTGGGCGATAAGAAATCAGTAATGATATGGAGCCAATAACGGAGCCAACAGTTGGCTCCTTAGCATTATTGGATAAGAAATTTCCCATTTTCCAAGATTTTTTGAAGTCTCTTGAGTGTAGAATTTCGTAGAAGGGGGTTACAAGCGAAAGTCACCATGCAACTAGGAACATTTTTTTTTAATTATATATATAATATTTATAAGTTTGTCCTATGTAGAAAGAAGAGTGGTCACGTCATAATTTGGTAGAGTAGAAAGTCTATATAATTTGGGTGAGAATTGAAGTTTACAATTCACACTCACTTACAAGTTGCAAGTAGGAAGAGAGAAAGAGAGATAAAATATGGGTTTGGAAGAAGAGAAAGGTAATAAGAGTGAAGAAGATGGATACACACAAGATGGAACAGTGAATCTAAAGGGCCATCCAATTTTAAGGTCCAAAACCGGTGGATGGACTGCCTGTTTCTTTGTTGTCGGTAACTATTTTATTCATCTTACACTTTCTATTTTTGCTTCATTCTTCTTCTTTTAAATTGTTTGTTTTGTGTGTATCTTCGTTTATTCT